GGATACTACTGAAGGTATTTGGTTCTGAAATTTTACAGGTGGTTTCTTGACGCATCAAAAGACATTCAAGAATTTTTCCAGAATTTTTTGACACCAGTAAACCCCTCAAAAACGTTGCTCAAATTGATCCAGCGTTTCCAGGTTTCTGGGTTGGTTTTTTTTTTCTTTGACTCTTAGTGCTTTAAGTTCTTTTGTTTTTCCTTGTTATTGTTCTTTTACATTATCTAACACATTATCTTCATTGTGTTAGTAGGACTAAAGAGTTTGCATACTTCTTCCTTCTTTGCATTCTCGTTCGCTTGGAGTCTAACCTTTGTTTGGCCTCTTAGAGCTTTTAGGTTTTTCTTATCGCCTTTGCTAGTAATCAAACTCCGATACGAACTGTGAAAGACTACTTGGTAAAGTGAGTTTTAAAGAGTACAAGATCGGCTTACTTGCCTCTCGTTGTGTTACTTTCTTGGAGTGACTTGTGAGGTTTCTTGCTTTGTTGAATTTATTTTATTTTTATTTTACTTTAAAATTTTCTTTTGAGTGTTATGATTTCAGAATGGGCGACACTAACAACAAGACAATTACGGCTATCTTAGCCACACTTGCCCGACTCACGACTCAAGTTGAAAGATTTGATGAAATCGTGAGAGAACGACAAGAACCACAACTGAATCTACCAAACCATAATCCAAGACCAAACAATGCTGAACTTTTGGTACCCGAGAAAGAACAACCACGTTTCCAAGCACCCAAACTCTTTACAAAACCAAAGTTCATGATCCCGTATTTCAAAGGAGACAACGATCCAGACAGGTACTCGAATGGGAAGGAAAAGTTGATCTCATGTTCGCATACCATGACTGCCCCCAAGCTAAACAAGTTCACCTGATCACCATACAATTGAAGGATATGCTCGAACTTGGTGGATGCAACAAGGAAAAAGATCCAGAACTTCCAAATTCCAACAATCACTTCTTGGACCGACCTCAAACAACCATGAGGAACCGATTCCTACCGACACATTATACACGAGAAGTTAAACAACGACTACACCGACTTCGACAAGGTAGAAGTTCAGTTGAAGATTACTACAAGGAGATGCAGTCCTTACTCAATAGGACTAACATAACCGAAAAAGAAGAGGTCACCGTGACAAGATTCATCGTCGGTTTAAACTCAAACATCATTGATCTTCTTGATCTACAAGGGTACAAAAACCTTGAAGACGCACTAAAGAAAGCAATGACAATCGAAGCACAAATCCAAAGGAGATCTAGATTCAGTGAACATTACCTAGGTACTTCATCCTCTTACCAAGGTAATCCTTCAAATCCTTCCTCATCTTCTACTCCATCTTCTCTAAAAAAGCAAGAGACAACCTGACAAGGAGAAAGAACGACCAGCAAAGAATGACACACTTCCAGTCCCTAAAGATCAAATGATAATTTGTGAGGAGGTAGGGAAAGCAAAAAAGAAAAAGTTGAGAAAGAGGCAAAAGAAAAAGAGGTCACTAGTTATAAAAGCCAAAAGAATAATGACCCATGGGAGGTGAGTGAACCTAAATGTGAGAAGAAAAGAGTGACTCAAAATCTATGTGTGAGCACAAAAGAATTGAGAGAGAACCTTATTTACAAACAACCTTGCATCCTTGTTCGCTTTAGGGAATCAATTGTTTCGATTTCTAACATTAACAAGGATTTGCCTAGTGTGTTTTCATCTCTTTTACAGGATTTTAGAGAAGTGTTAGGTGATCTACCTAACGAATTACCACTGAAAAGAGGAAAACAATGCCAAATCAATCTAATTCAAGGTTCCATCATACCTCGTCAAACATACAATCTCGAAGAAACCAAAGAGTTGGATTTGTTACAAAAAGGCTACATCCAGGAAAGCCTTAGTCGTGACGCCATCATAATGACGAAATATGATTTGAACAACTCTTCAGGCTTTATAGTTCATGCACAGAGAATCCATGTAAATGATGAGAAAGTAAAAGCAACACGAGACTGGACCACACCATCTTCCATCGCCAAGAGTTGTCGAATAGTGCTAGGTGACCCTCCTGACGGGTTACCACCTGAAAGCCCTAATCACTATGCCATACCAATGAAGAGTCACGATTTACGAGAGTCCAAAGGTAAATATTTTATTACTCATTTTAATGACATTGTAACGTACTTCTTCTCCTTCTTACAAGGAAAGGCTCGTGAAGTTGTCATCCATACTAAACACAACTCCTTTAAGTGCGTAACATACCGAGGTAAGCAAAACACAGTAGACGATACACTACCACGAAGGTATACTCTTACCTATCAAACTCATACTTCTATTCCGAGAATTGAACATATCAAAGATGTATATCACGATAACTCGGATATTTCTGATATTTCTACCATACATTTAAAAGTGCTTTTAATGAGCTTTATCTTGTATATGAGTTTCCTTGCCAACTAAACAGGTTATACAGTCCACAAATCTCCTCATGGGAATCATTAATTCATGAACCACACTTAGGAGACTTAAGGGATTACGTTAACAAACCAGTTGACATGGTTTTTAAACACTCATTCTCGCCACACACGAATAAAACCATGGAGAAATTATCTGAAATAATCATACAGAAAGCCAACAGTGACCGGCGCCATGTTGAAATTCAACCAAAACATCAGATTACAAGACTTGTATGCAAAAGAGGATTTCAAGACTACAAGAAATCAGTTCCTACAAAGAAGAAACCTCGACTAAAATGCATAAGACACATCACATTGATCCTGGTAAATGTTTCACAAGTTTTATTTCAACACATCTAATTCTCTTTCTTTGGATTTTCAGATTCGAGGACGAATCCTTTTGAGGAGTGGGGGAATGATACATGCACCAGAGTCCATAATACATGCTTCTTTGGACTAATGTTTCTACTCGAACCTATTAGAAGAACAAGTCTCGAAGATTCAAAGCATATCTATTCGGTAAGCATAATGTGAATGAATTATTAAACTATTCTAATGTTGCTCCCTTTAATGTTTCAGATTCGAGGTCGAATCTTTTTGAAGAAAGGGAGGATGATACATGCATCACAAGGTTCACATCAAAGGAAGAAGTAATAACTCTTCCAAATGATCCACTCGTCCAAGCTTTGGAAAAGAAGATCAGACAGCAGCGCACTTGAGACGACTTTTTTAATGGGATCCTGATATTATTTGGTCGACATGTCTTCTGGAGATACAACCGTCTGTCTCTTATCTTTCTAACGGTTCTTGAATCGCATCAATCCGATATCGGGAACTCAAGATATGGTCATTTTACTGAAGACGGTGCATGCAGGAAATCCTATACGGGATTAATACGTTATTTGTAAATATTACGAATTTTCAATATTTATTGATTATTTGTAATATAATTTAATATAGGATGATTAATTATCTTTTAGGATCAGATTTATTATTTATTAGGAATTAAGGTTGGGTTAAAACAATATTTTAGTTATTATATTTATTAGGAATTAGGGTTAAAACATGTTTAGTTTATTAATATTTTATTCTTTAGTTATTTAGGACCTTTAGAATTCAGCCCTATATAAAGGAGGCTTCATTCAACTTTGTAAATCAGATTTCTTTGATTAATAATACAACGAGAGTTCGTTTTGCAAGTGCTGATTGCTTGTGCCTTCGAAGCTTCTTCCCCTTGAGTTCTTTCAAGTTCTTGTGAGGGAGATTAATCTTCACACTCCAATTTGCCTTTTCATCGCGACTAGGAGGGTTGGTTAGAGCCATTTATCGTGTTTGCCTTTTCATTGCGACTAGGAGGGCTCGATAGGACACTTATCCATCTATTATCCACATATCCATCCACGCCATCAATCATCTTTACCGTTCACCTTCATAAGGGAGATCTTTTGATTTCTTTATTATCTTATTTCATCTTTCATTTATTTATCTTTTGTTTATTTTATTCTTATCGTGTTGTCTTGATTCCAGCACATAAAAGAACCCTACTTGCTACCGCCACCTTCCCCTATTCGTTCCCTTTGTTCTTAATCGAGTCTAGAGCTTTCTAGGTTTGATTCTTCAACAAGAGCAACGTTCATCAATCCGCCACCGCTTCCCTATCATATTGTAAATATTTATAATTAAATTTAAATGGGAACTCGAAAATTTGACTCTACTCGACTCGACTAGAAAAAATTTCAAGTCAACTTTGAATTATAAAATAGGACTCGTCAAATCGAATAACTCGAAATTTTTTGACTCACTCGACTATACTCAATAGAATGCGTAGCATTAGTGACTTAACGAGAAGTGGCCTAATTAAATGCAAAATTAAAATTCAGTGTTATAATTGATAAAATTAAAAGTTCAATGATATTTGACGTAGTTTACCCTATTTTTTAAATTAAATAATTAAATTTAAGAGTTCAATCTAAAGATTAAAAGTGCTAGATTTCGAAGTTATAAAATAAAGATAGAGATTGGGGCTTATGACAAGGCAAGCAGTATCGGACTGGGAAGATGAAAAGGGTTGGGTTGACGACCAAATAAAACTCGAAATCACAGAACGCACGTAGTTTTAACGAAAACCGGCAAACGACCAACTACTATTGTCCTTTCATTGCGTGCCTAATATATTTTATGTATACCATTAAAATTCTCATAATATTATTTATGTTTATTATTTTTCGAAAAGTATATATATATTATCTAATAAATATATAATGAAGTGTTGAGGGATTTCGATCTTAAATTTGATGATTTTAATCTGAAAGAGAATGAGAAAATAGAAAAGTTAAAATATTTTTTTTGAAATATATATTTGATTTTTTTAGAAGTTACGGTAGGTGGAGAGAGAGAGAGAGAGAGAGAGAGAGAGAGAGAGAGAGGTAAGAACACCTGATTTATCAGATAAAACTACTCCAAGATTTGTTATGTCAGTTCACTTTGATATATAATATTTTAATCTTTAATGATAACAAAAAAGCTTACCTAAACATTAATAATCATTGGTGAAGTTTATGAATTCAAACAGTGAATTACCACACACTGTCACTTTCAAAAATCCACTGTAAATGACACTCCCATGGATTACCAAACCGGACAGGATGGCCGAATTCCAATCCGGTTATTCAACATCACGGTCTCCTCATGCACACAATATACATTACACATTTCCCCTACCTCATACTTGCCTAAATTAAATGTTAACTGCCCTTCCATTTTCAACATCTATACGTATACTACATCATACACAACTAATTTCCAGGCAATCAAAACAAATGTTTGTGCGCATTCGACTCAAATAAATGGGGTAATCGAACTCGAAATTCTCATCAAATCATTTTCTTTCTGCTGTCACGCCAACCACAACGTTGCTCACCTGCGATTTGATATCATAATTTATCAGCCCCAAACGATTTCTATATGCTAAAGCTCAAGAAAGCGAAAAGCACAATATATTAAAGAATTATAACTATAATTACCAATTTCCACTCTCGTCAACTGACATGGGATTCTCAACCACAACTGTTTGGCTCTGCAAATTGCGGATTGTATGTAAAAGGATAGATTCGGTAAAATGTTTATTTAGCTCAAAATATCCACAACATCAAATAAAAAGGCAATAAAAAGAAACTTCAAAAACTTACAGATGAAGTAGGTGGCATAGTCCCAGAGGAAGCTATTTGATTAGGTCGGTTACCGGAAAACGGAACCCTCGCATTGCCCATCTGAAAGATATATGAGAAATATAGAGTGAAGAATAGGTTAAACCTCCAAATACTTTATAGAAAAAAATTGTATACACTGTATATCCCATAATGGTGCTCAAGTATTGATTTCATGGATATATGAGACAAACAAGTACTTCAATTTCTGATTAAAGCTCGCAAACTTTCCGAGTATTCATAACCTTAGTAGTATAGACCGGGGGCATCCAATACCATGACAATAGTATAAAGCTCAAACTATTGCCTTCAAAACAGTTTTTAACCGTCACTTGGGAGTGTCACACTTTATGTATACAAAACAGATAATAAGATGCCAAATTAAAGGGTGCCAACAAGCATTGCCCTTTCCATTCAGAATCTCAAAGCCTGCTTGAGGAAAGAGATGATTCTATATCCATGGCATGGTGACAGCACACGGTGTCAAGAAAAGAGATGAAGTAAACCAATTAATCAGGAAACTGGAGAGCAAGGTTAAGTTTGAGAGGTAATCCCCCTAGGTCAAATTTGCTCAGAAAGAGAGAGAGATAGAAGACCCCCAAAAAAGTATGATTATTTTTGTACATCATTTGGGCAAAGATATTGCAGCAACCACACCCAACCAGATAATGGAGATATTCAGAACTAGACCAAATACAATAGGGAACTATTGCTAAAGATTTTAAAGACGTTTTAAAAGTGAAATTTGCATCAAAAGCGTTTGTCAACCAGAAAACAAGTAATAAAATAAGAAGAGAAAGAATGACTACTATCGAGCAAACTATGAATTCATATGACCCCCATTTAGCCTCTTGTGAGTGGAGAGCGAGTAAATCTCCAAATCTCTGCAGATTCTATGATATTTCATATGCTGGTAATATATGTGCTAATGAAAAGTTAAATCAATTCAATCATACTTACGCCAACATTGGTAACATATTGACAGACAGCACATTTGACAGATGGAGCTCCATATGGATACATTAATGTTGTCCGGCAGTGCCCACAATTGATATGAGCAATCTGGTTTGATGCTTTTTCCGTGATCATGAGATCCAAGAAAGAAGAAAGTCAGAAAAAAGCCAACTAAGAAAGAGAGGACGAAGAAATAAACAAGGAAAATACAGAATAAAATACCAACAGTCCAACGAAACCAGGAAACCCGATCAAGAAGACACAAGGAACCAAAGAATACAAATTTTAGAAGCATATGAAGATCTTTGACCACTCAAAGTAGCATAGAGTGCTACTAAAATAAGGTCAATGAAGAATAAAATGGTAAAAATGAATTTCCTGTCTTCTTTAGTAGCAACAATTCAACAGTTCCTAATATTGCAACAACCAAAAATACATCGCGTGCAAAAATATTATACCTGGTGCAAGGTTAATGGTGTGACAGCAAGAACATCTTACACTTGTTCCTCCACGTGCATACATCAGCAATGTTCGGCAGCCTCCACATATGAGTTGAGTTGTTTCCATTCCTGCAGGATTAATGTAACAGGTTATCAAACCAAAAGATTCTTATCAGATATATTTAACTCATTGACATATCTGAATAAGAGGAACGTTAGTCGCCACTCCAGACTAATGTTATGTATCCTTGCCGTAATTAATCCTCTTGTCTATGTAGAACATATTCTAGAATCTAGACAAGAAAACCACCGGTATTATAATTACCAGAGAGTTCTAGAGCATATATTAACAAGGGAAGTAGTTTTCAACGCTACTAAGTAAGAAGTAAGAACATTGGAAAAATTTAACAACTTTATGAAGTAGATATATTGAGTTTCAATTACTAATAATCATGTAAATTGTAGTGAAAACTGGCAACTGTTCACAACTATGGAAACTACCTAACGGTTTTATATCTGCAAGCAAGGGTAAAAAATTAAGTGTACCAGGGGGAGGAACTTGAGTAATCGTATTGCATATTGCACAGCAAACATTTGTAGCTCCTCTGGGATATAGAAGAATGCTCCTACACCCGCTGCAAACAAGCTGGTTCTGCATATCTGCAATCATTGAAACAAACCATGTAAATATACTTTTTCTAAATCTCATTATAACATTAATACCCATTTAAATTTGGTAATAATAGTTTAGAGATTCAATACAAAGCAGATGGTAACTAAATCTTATACATTAACACAATTCAGTTTAAATGAAGCAACATGACCTCAAGAGGTTAAAATCCTCCAAAACATTCAAAATTACTAGGCAAGAAAGTGCAGGACTTGTTAACAATAGCACTATGTTGACCAAACTTTTCATTTTATCTAAATAAATGAATCTCTTAAGTAAATGAACAAATTGGAAATATTAAGAATAATCATACGACACATGATCATTTCTGACACTTATTCCCGAGTCGGAGTAACATAGCTTCCATGTATATGCAACTAAATGAGAGTTCTATCTCAAAGTAAAGTATTAGATACACTGAAATCATATGCGTTCACATCCACAATAAAACAACAACGAAGATTAATGATTCAAAATTCCAAAATCCGAGAAAGAGAACAAACTAGTACTACATGATAGATAGTGTTTTTAACCACCTTTTCCATTAAAAGTAAAGCCTTTTAATCAAATATCTAGCAACATCTCAGCACAAATTAACACTTCTCTTTCCCTAAAATCCCTAGCTAATAAAATTTACAGCAGATAGGGAAACGTCCTTAACTTAAACTTGAAAAGAGAAAAATAAGTTTTCCAGGTACGAAAGCTGTAATTCGAAAACAAATACTACTGGTGGACAGATATAAAATCAAAATTAAACCCCCGAAATGATAATAAAGAAACCCGATTTCACCTCCTTCAACAAAGAACCGATTCGAATTCTTCCAGAATCAATTGAATTAACAACCAAAGTTCCTGCCAAGCAAATTAAACAAAAAATCGTAAATAAGACGTGGATCAGGGAAACAAAAGAAAGAAAATGAACAAGGAGGTTCAATTTACCTCGAAGGGAACGTGGATTTGAAGAAGAAGAAGAAGATGATGACGATGATGAAGAGAATGCTGTTAAGAGAAAAAATTGTAAGGTGTGATGTTCCAAATACGATGAGATACGCGTAAATTAGGAATCCTTTAATAACGTTGTTTTGGGGTCAAACAAGAGAATCGAGCTTCTTCTATCTTTCTTTTTTCACTTTATTAATAAGGTTTTTCGATTTTTCTTTTTTCGATAGATGAGGAGATTTCGTTGAAATTTGGCTTCTTACGTAAGAATAAATAAATTATTGTCCGTCGTTGGGATTTGGCCGATACGAATATAAAAAATTTTTGAAAGAAATTTTCAAACGACCTAAGCGTCCTATTTATTTTCTAGAAACTAAATCAAAATTAAATTATTAATTTAAAAATTAAAATTATTTATTTTAGATTATTTTCTATTTTATTAAAAAAGGAAAGATAAAAAAGTATTCATTTGTATTTATATCATTAATTGTTGTTATTATTTTGTATGATATAATCGTTTTTTAAGAAGTTACAGAGTTATAATGAGTTTCTGTAAAATTCGCTTCAGATTAATTGATTAATAATAGATCCGTTATTGATAGTTTAAAAAAATATTCAAGAAAACAATAGAAATGAAAATATTTTAGCTCTTAGAACTTGTAGCATACAAGTTTCCCTATTATTTAAAAAAATTCTAAATTATTTATCAAAATAATACTTTTATTGAAATTAAAAAAAGATACAACCGGATACGTTAACATTTAAACTTAATAAAGTACATGTCAAAACAATCACATCTTCCTTGAATTTAACTGTCAAATATATGAAAATACTTGTAAAATGGTATCATTCATATATATTATCTACAATAGATATCATTTTAATGTTATTTTTTTTAAAATGACTAGAAATGTGTGAAAATTCCATCTTACCGTCCCTTTTTCTCGAGTTTGCCATCCCACCAAAAATTACCTTGAATCAATTAATAAATGGATTCGATTTTTCTATTTGATGCATATTGGATAATTGAATATAATATTTGATTTCAAAAGAATACTAAGGAATAGCATAATTGTGTAGTTATTTAGATATTATAGATATTCGGTTTCAAAGTAATTATGACAGATCCCACCATACTACAGTTCTGTTCTTCATATATCATAGAATTTACATTCATTTCACTTCCTTTGTCATCAAAGTCGTCGTAAACTGGCCAATCTCTTCTCGAGATCATCAACATCAGTAGGCTCGACCCTGCACCAAATCACCAAGTGTATTTGTCAATGCTTTGATCGAGTCAGACATCTCTGTTTTTGCTTACGTATTCGACATGCATACCTGGCATTAACCGCGGCTGTGGGAGTAGCATTCTTTGAAGCAATCCGACCCTTTGGAGCTGAAGATAACTGTTAAAACAATGGGGGACATGTTTAAGCATTTATCGACGCATCGAGATTAGAGAAATGTTTTGATAAGATGAATATCAAGAATCTAACCTGAGAAGCAATATCCACACCGATCTCATCAAGCACCTGATTGGTGAGCTCCTCTGTTTCCTCTTCGGCCTCGTCTTTATCCAAAGTTTCGTCAATAGCTTCCGACATCATCTCAATCTGCGAAAAGAACACAAGACTTGGTGATAAAACACTGCCAAGTGAATCAATCCTTGCACTGACCTAAATGAATCCATGCCGTGTTCAGAAGACTCGTTATTAGTCTACACCGCATCACGTTCCAGGTAAAAATATAAAGATGAAGATAAGAAGAGTACCGTCATATCCATTTGTGACGACTGCTTTTGAAATTCTTTTATTACTTTGGCTTGCTTCGCAGGAGCCATTTGCTGCAAAATAAACAGAGAATATCCGATTTCGGAGAATAACAAGCCACAATGAGTCATTTTTCGGAAGAAACCATGCAAGTATAAATGTATAATGATTTCCATGTCAAAAGAACTTCACAGTTGATAAAGGACAACGTAAAACAATTATCAAAGCAAGGTTTGAAGTACACATACCTTGTTCATTGCCACCATTGCCTTAGTTGCTCCTTTCATTCCTGTAGATATTGAGGTACTGGCATATAGTGCCTGTGAACACACAAAATAAAACATCAAGGGACTGGCATACAACATACTTTAATCATTCCAGCAACCAAGGATTTATTAACGAAACCCAACCTGCGTATGAGTTGCGACGCCTCTGATTTGGGCACGACTCCCCTGCAAATTAGTTATCTGTTGACGCAGCCTTACAAGTTGGCGAGCTAAAATTCGAGTAGCAGCCTGAGAAACACGTAAAGGAAAGCTGAGGGGGTTTGGGGATTTAAGGGAATCACTTGAGCAAACTCCAATGGCCGAGTTCTTGATAACCAAGACAGATCATCTTGATATATAGTCAAATTTCATAAGCATACGATGATCTGTTTATGGATCCTTTTCACGATTTGACATTACAAAATGGTATGCTTCTAGTAACAAGGTGTGCATTTATTCTGACCTAAATAATCAGCAAATCTTCTAGGTTTGAAACAGTCGATAAGCTTTACAACCTCCTTACGGACATTACAAAAGATTGAAGTCAAAAACCGGGAATATAAATAGCCTTGACCTTGATAGATTGATGAATTTCATCAAACACTTCATCGACTAAACCAATTTTCTCTTTTTTCAACAAAATTGCAGCTCATAACTACATGGCTTTAGAAATATCAATAGCACATTTCATCAAAAGCAGTCAATAATTAAAACTTGCCTCGTTTCCGGTTTTGGCAGTCTTCTTGATCTCTGCCACCAATTTCTTTTCCTCCAGTTGAAGAGAGGCAATCTCCCGTTCGACGCCTAAATAGAAACACAATTAGTCAAATTTCAGCTCCAACGGATGGAGAATGAAAGAACTTCAGTAAAATCAAACACTCAAATGTCGAATTTACATTCAGTAGAGAAAAATGAAAAGTTCGAGCAATGTAAGTACAGAAAATGAACACACATACCACGAGTTGCAACCACCATTTCTCTTTTGCTCGACCGCAAAGCATCTGGAAATAAAAAAAAAGGCAAAACGTTCAGTGAAAACTTAGAAATGGAACTTTCAGAGTTAGCAGAGAAAGTAATGAGGGGTGGATCTGAAATACCTTTCGGAGATTCTTTCTTCTTGAAGATTTTCAACATGATATCAACTGAATTGGTTTGCCCTTCAAAATCAAACAAACAAACGGGTAAGAAGAACCCTAAGAATCTAATAAGTAATGTGAGGGCAGGAATCAGAAAAAAAGCTTTTGAATGGGGAAACACGAATGAAAGACAGTGTGAGCGCGTGAAAAAAGGTCTTGGGCTTCGAGGAGCGTGCCGCAGCTGTGCGCCTCTTCTACTCTCCAACGGTAAGCCTTATAGTGGCCCTCGCACCACTGAACTAGCCGTTACAAAGGTTCGGGTTTTATTTCTATTTTTTTATTTATTTATCGGATAACCATAATATTATCCTAGAGTATTGAATAGTTTAGTTTACGGAATCACAAGGCCTCACAGTTGACATAGTCAATCTTTAGATAAATTTTATTTGAATAAACTATATTAGAGATCACTTATTTATATTTAAACAATTTGCTATTATTAATTTTTTGAATTTTTTAAATATTATTGAATTTATCAATTATTATTATTATTATATTGTGTTAAATATTTTATAATCATTTACACAAACCAAGTGATATCGGTGGTAAAGAAATTGTTGTTATTACTTAAGATCTCGAGTTTGAATACTAGAAATGTCAGGCGTGTGAGTGTTGAATGTTAAATTATTGAGAGATATCTTTTAATTTATATTATTTTGTACTTACCTCATATTAATACAAAAATATTTTATAATCATTTAATAAATTTAATTATAATTTAAACATAATTCACTGGTTTTTTATATACTTCACTTTTTACCTTTTAAGATTTTTTTTTTTGGTTACAGAATTTTTTATTTGATGTACTTGTAGAGTTTAAGATGAATTATCAATATTTTCAATTAATTAAAACATTTTAATTAAGTATAAGTACTTTTTTCTTTTAAAAAAAGTATTGATGGTATTGATATTTGTACCAGTCGCACCATTTTAAGATATTGACGTTGAATATGATGTTAAAAGAATGGTTTAATACTAAAATAGGTGTACAAAATATATCCTTATTCTTAAATATATAGATGTTTAAATTATTTTTTTGATTCATCTATATACTTAACGTTATAAACGTTACTATTTTAAGTACATGATGTTTGTATTTTATGTGCTCGGGTCATTAGTGGTATTAATTTTCTCCGTTAAGTGACATATGTCATAATATGTCAATTTGAAAATTTATTTAAAAAAAAACTTAAAAATATTTTATTTTTGAAAAATTCCCAATTGTTTTTCAAACATATCAAAAAACCTAAAATCTTAAAGTCTCTTATTCTAGTCTCATTTATTCCAACCACCGCTCATCTTCGACCACCCATTGTCGGCGATCGACCACCTAACACAACCTTTACCATGTCATAAAACCCAAAATTCACAAATCTTTAAATTTCAATTTTTAATCCCTAAAATCCCAAATACTCAATCCGTTAAACTTGATCGTAATAATTGATCGTTTAGCCGATTGAGGTAACCGACCATTTGATCAGCTGTTTAATCGGTCGTTTGACTTTTGACTATGGAAGTAGAGAGCAGGGTAGAGGGAGGAGCATATGGGAGGTATAGGGGAAAGGGGGGATTTTTTTATTTTTTAATAATATTTCTTATTTTTAAGAAAAATAAAAATTTTAAGATTGTAACTTTTTTTTAAAAATAGTTTAGGCACCTATTTGGGAATAAGGATATAGTTTGGGCACTTATTTTGGTATTAAGCATAGAATGACTTAATACCAAAATTATCGTATTATGAAATGTGTCACTTAACAAAAGAAATTAACGCCGATGATGGCTCGAGCACCTAAATGGTAGCATTTGTAACGTTAGGCACCTATTTAGGAATAAGGGTATAGTTTGGGCACTTATTTTGATATTAAGCTTAAAATTATTAATAGTTGAGAAGTATTTATTCAAAATTTTCTTAATTTATTGATAACGTATATATCTTGCAGACGTAAGTATTTTAACCCAAAACCTATAAAGACATTAATATTTTCTTTTACCACTATAATCATTTGATTAATTCATGATGTAAAACATATTTAAAAATATGTGAATATAATTATAAATATGTATATATGTATGTATATATTTTATATATACATTTTCATTCTAACATACTAAATAATTGGCAATGTCATTAAAATTTAAAAATATATTTATTTAATGTTCAAATTCACATTATCAATGCAGTATGAACACATTTTTAATATAATGTGAGAAAAATTTGACGATAAATGTCACATATCGAAAAACACTATTAAAGCGACACACCAAAATACATTACTAATTAAATTAAAATGAGGCAAAATTATAAATGACCATCAAACAATGATAAAATGATATTTTTAGTCATTCAACTTTTTAAAAGTTATAAAATAAACATTAAACTTTAGTTTTGTTAAAAATATAAACATCGATCATTAATTATCATTAAAAGATAATATAAAATTTTAAATTCTTCAACAAGAATATCTTCTTTGGTACCTCAATTGTGACTAAAATTTACTTTTGATATATTTTTTCAATATTTTTAAGTAAGAGTTTTAAAAAAATAAAACATTCTATTTTAAAATATATATATTGAATTTTAGAATTTAATTTTGAAATTATGGATAATTTTTCAAATTACACTTAAATTTATTAAACAAAAGTTAAATAATTAAATTACGTTGCTTAATAAAAAAATAATTTCTCTTTATGATAATTAAAATTTTAAATCACAAAAAATATATTATAAATGTAGTCATAACTAAATAAAATAACATTTATAAAATAGTTTTATGAATTAAAAAATTCATAAAGTTATTGTTTCAAAAATAAATTGCAAATTTTTATTATTTAAAAAAATATTTTTTAGAATTATTACTAAGAAATGTTAAAATTATAAAAAAAAGGAAATTTTATTCATAATTGATGGAATAATTGAGATTATTTTATTGATTTAATATATTACTTCACTCTCTTTTTTTTCGAATAATAAAAGAGACAAAAGCCTTTAGCATTAAAAAGGTATTAGACCTATGATGGAGCAGTCCAAGAGGATCTCGAACGAGAATGTTATGAGAGAAGTTGGAGTTGCCGGGAAGATGTGTATTGATCCAGCATTGTTGAATTCAGATTTGACTAGGCCATTAGCAGCAAAGTTCGCTTCACACTTGATCAAATTAAACTCAAGTAACCAGTTTTTATTAGTGAACTGGCTAATCATACGAACCAGAGCGATTGGGGAGGTCGGAGAAAAAGGAGAGGTGATCAGGTTGAAAGCCTCTGAACTATCTTTTTGACATTGGACTTTGTCATAACCATAATTCCATGCAAGGTTAAGTCCTTCACAAATACCCCAAAGTATTGTTTGAAGAATAGTAGAGCGACCAATGAATTTGTTGAAGCCCACTAGCCATGTTCCTTCCGTGTTTCGGAGAATTCCACCAGTTGTACTAAAGGAAGAGTGGGGGTTGACTGCCTCATCTGTAACACCCCCAACCTGTACCCGACCCGAATACGAGTTCGAGGTGCCACATTGATCAGTCAAAGCATATACTTTTATAAAATCCATAGAAAATTTAAAACTTCTATTCTGTAAAGCATATAATTTTATAAAAACCATAGAAAATTTAAAACTTCTATTCTATAAAGTAATTCTTTTACATAAATATGTTTAAAACCTTAACAGACTCCATCAGAGGGTACATATATAATGACTTAGTTACATGCCAACATACTAAATTATATGACAAGACATACTTTACAAAATATTTCTGATCTGAACTTTGCGCGGAGATATGCTGCTTTACGGATCCGAAGCTTGATCTTCTGACTTATCCACACTTACGTGTAAGACACTTACACACTAAGTCATAGACTTAGTGAGACATGTAAATACATAAAGTAAACTAACAATTGCATGAACATCATATGTAATACACATTATACTTATATACCTATTGAACTCATCACTAACATGTTTATCCTTACTTATTTCCTTGTCATTAATTCAATTTCATCATATGAGCATATATTGAACATAAAAGTATAATATAATTTCAAAACACAACCATACATGAATAATTACTATGATCATATCATACATAACCAAATAACATCTCATATCACCATTACACATATGCACTTGTTACCATTATTATCATATGATCCTAACTTATCACTTATACATATCACATGTCACATATATCATTTCACGAGAAACACATATCATTATATCAAATTATGTGTAACATCCCAAATCAGGGTCAATGACTAAATTGTAAATTTTGAAAGTTTTGTGTTCAATTTAGAAATGAAATTTAAAAGTCTTGGGATTTAAGTAAAGAATTTTAATATTGGATTAAATAGCAAAAATGGATGAACTAAAGGGGCAAAATGGTTTTTTCATGGGAAAGATTTTTATCTTCCTTTTTGAGTATTATAAACGTGGGAAATATGAGAGAGTTCCAGACTTCTCTTCTTCATTCTCTTCTTTTCCACCGTGAAGCCATAAGCAAAGGTAAGTTTCTTCATTAGTTGATTATTTGTTCAACTAAAGGTTTGGTTATGATTATTGGATGATAATTAAGCTTAAGGAAAGCTTAAATCATCTTAAAAACAAAGGATGGTGGAATTAGGAGGGATTAAAGATTAAGAGTTTTTGAATGAAATTCTGGAATAGAGTTCTTTACTCAAATTGGAAGATAAATTTGACTTGTCAATGGTTGAATTAAGAGATATGAAGTGATGGAATTGAATTTAGAACAAGAAGAAAAATTAGTGTGATTCTTGAATTCTATGTAGAGAATTAGATTTTGAAGTTAAAGATGTATTGAATGAGTAGTAAGGAGTTTAAGCATGTATATGTAAGTTAAGAATAAGAAAGGGGATGATATATGAAGTGTTTGAGAGGAAATGAAGTAATTTTCTTGCTGAAAAATGATTTCTGGGTTAGGGGGAATCGATACCCATTCAAAGGGGTACCGATACCCTCTCAAACGACAGAATTCCAGAATGTCATGAGGGTATCGATACCCCCAGTAGGGAATCGATACCCCCTAAAGGAAAATTGAAAATATGGGTTTAATAAGTTCGTTTAAGTTGATAGTATCCAACTACAAAGTGTAGGTATCTAATAATTGCCTTAAAATGTACATTTATGTAGATATTGAGCCTAAACAAGTTCCGGAATAATCAAAGGATTATAATCGAATCAAAGCAAGGCTAAGGTGAGTGCAATTTAATTTGTACTTATATTATTGAATAAACATTGGCTTGCGATGACTTAGTGATGGAGTTACTATGGTAAGAATTAACTCCTAAAATGTGCTTTGATTGGTAATCTATGTGATGATTTGTGTGATTATGGGATATGTGTTAAAAGACAATGATCTAAATGACTACATGAATCATGTGGTATAAGTTATGTGATTACATGTATGTATTAATACATATTGCTTGCATTACATGTTAATGTGATTATGAATAGGTAGAAAGGAAACAAATGATGATATAAGAATCTATTATAAGATATGTGATATAAAAATATGATAGTGAGCTATGTGAAAGAACTATGAGTTATATGGAAAATATATGCGAACAAGATAAGACATCTATGTTTATATGAAACAATGCAAGGTGATATGAGCTATGTGAGATATGAATATAAAATAATATGAGAAGTGAAAAGAATTACATGAAAATAGACTAAGTGATTACATGTATATGTGAAAGAAGCTATGAGCTTATATGAATATGTGATATGAATGAAGCTATATGATACGATTTATGTGATTACATGCACATATGATATATGTTATATGAAATGACATATGAATAGGCAATACGTGATACATGTGATATGATATGGAATACATGGTTACACATACATGTGGTATGTGACAGAAGAGAAATGACAAGTAATGTGAATTGTTAAATGATAATGCCCATGTTATGTGATATGAGAGCTAGGGTATAGTTGGCATGCCAAGGGTCGAGGGTTTACCTATGTTCTTCGGGACATATGGACTGTTTACCTATGTTCTTCGGGACATATGGACTGTTTACCTATGTTCTTCGGGATATATGGACTGTTTACCTATGTTCTTCGGGACATATGGACTGATTACCTAGGTTCTTCGGAATCTATGGACTGGTCCTTCGGGACATTAATCGAGCTGTGGTGACAGCATATGTGTGCACAACCTCAATGTACTCACATACCTTAAGTTCTCACTAGTGTACATGGGCTAATAAAGTGATTAAACAAACATATTGAATGTGATATGTATACGATGGGTTTATAAATGGTTATCAAAGGTAAGTGGTTTGAAATGTGTTACATGAACCATATGATGTTATGTGTGTTTCTTAATGATAATGATAGAGATTATGATAATGATGGTATATGTTTATGTATGCTTTATGTTATATGAAATATTATATGTTTTATATGCCTCACTAAGTCATCAACTTAGCGTGTGATTGTTTCACACGTAGGTTTAGAAAAGTAAAGAGGAACAAGACAGGTCAATTCTCCTTACCAAATGTCAGATTAGAAGAGAGGTGAATAATATGTATTTTTGTATATAAAGTTCTAGTTGGCATGTAATCAAAAGAATATATTATATAAGCTCTGAATAATTTTGTAAATGTTTTGAATAATTTAAATGTTATAAAAGTTTTTAAATTACTCACTATTTTATACGAATAATTTTTGAAAAGTCAATGTGATACTTCGGACTCGTATCATGGTCGGATACAGGTTGGGGGTGTTACATTTTATGGTATCAGAGCTAAGGTTTAGCCGATTCTCAGCATAAACCGAAGTCCAAAGTGTCATAAAATGTGTACATGCCAACATAGAGTGAAAAATTTCTGATCTGATAGTGTAAGGAGTATGTTGTCTTGCTAATAGAATAAGAATAGTTTAATACAGTAGAAATCCGATCGTGATAATTTTGAAGTAAGTGAAAGGTGATATTCCTGACTGTGATAGCTATTCACCTGCCCTGGCCAGGCAGGATGAAGAGCGGATACCTCAGAAAATGCCTAGTAAGATCAAAAGTTGATTTCAGAAAGCTGAAATCATATCTGAATAATGACAGAAAGTTTTCATTGTTTTGAATCGGAAACACGATATGGAATAGTTTTGTTATTTTGTGGATAAGATAGAATATGGTGAAAAAGTGTCACTATAAGATTGTTAAAAAGATCAAAGGATGTGGTGAGTATTTGTATGAGAATTCAAGAATAGATGCATCAGTGACAAGTGTATAAGAGATATGGAGATAAAGTTTATGAATTTAAGGCAAAGGGATAATATTGTGTATAAACAAGATTGTGGCTATAATAAGGGTTTGCATTCTAGATGAAAAGAGTTAGCGTTGACTAACCAGATTATGTGATGGAAAATGTATGTGAATTATAAGATTTTGAGATATTGTCAGAACAGAAAAACCAAAGATGAGGTGGATCTGGATACAGTTGTATATTTGGATCATAATAAATATGGATTTGATAAGTTAAGTAAACTATTGCTGAGATAATTCCGACTGGAATGAATGTATATGAATGGTTCAATGAAGGTTTATGTTTTAGATTGGAATAATTGGTGGTGACTAACATAATTATGTGATGGTAAGTGTATCAAAGGTAAATGATTAGAAGATGATGTCAGGGTAAATTAATTAAGTAGGGTGTGAATTGAGACACGATTATGTGTTTTGATCATGGAAATATAAGGTAATAGAGGAAACAAGAGAATAATATTGTATATGAATAAGAGTGTGGGCTGGATAAGTGAGTAAATTGCACTGATTGGATTTCAACTGAGAAGATGAATATGATTAGTCTGATTAGGGCTTATGCCCTAAATTGGAAAAGTTGTGACTGATTAATTGTAATAGTATGGATAATAAAGTTCTAAGATTTGAAGAAAATATAAAGTTAAGTTAATTAAGTATGATGTGGATTTGGATATGGTTTTGATCATATAAATATGATGTAGGCAAGGAAATAAGTATTGGTATGTTTAAAAAGGAGCTTTGAGGAAGAAAATACAAGTACAAGAGATGGTAAAAAATGAGATTCTGTATAAGTAAAGCAGATTATCAAATTTATGAAGATGCGATGAAGATCAGTAATCAGGGATAAGTATAAGCGATATGAAAAGAGTATGAGAGCCTGAA